AGATCTTAAAAGTTGCATCACTGGCCAAAAATAGTTTTTACACTTATTGCTTTAATATTGAGTCTTTCTTGTGCTTGCTTTTCTACATTCCACTATAGCCATTTTTAAATGGATGGCCACAAATCAAATACAGAAGGTCATCCACAGGCCTGTAGACACACGTGTTTTGTTTATAATTTTTAGCTGATTTAATAGCTTGTCTTTGTTGTGTCTCTCTCCCCCCCCCCCCCCCCCCCCCCCCCCCCCTCCCCCCCCAGAATGGAAGCCAGCAGTTTTTGATAGACAGAAAAATTTGGTAAGACCACACACTTTTACAGTAGATCAGCCATTCAGCAGACGAGGAGACTGGACTCCAGAAATGGCTGGCAACCATCCCATTGCTAATACAGAAGCGGCTGATTACAGCGGGACCAGACTTCAAACATCTCAGAATGTGGTAGAAGAAGAAGCATGGTAAGAGTTTTTTTTTCTGCTTTGTATTTCCTAGTGGAGCATAATCTCAACCAACTTGCACGAGGTTTACCCCTCTTTGCCATTTCCTGCAGCTCACAGCATGTCCTCCCCAGCTTAGTCCTAACATTCTGGATGCAAAATCTGGAGATTTTACTGTCTCTGGTATGTGAATGATCCAGACTGTCTGACTTTCTCTGCACTGCTTTGTGGATCTTACAGAAGAGCTTCCCGTTATCTTAGTTGATGGAGTCATTCTTGGTGATGGCAATATTTACTGCTTACGTTGAAGTGACAGAGAGTGTTTCATGCACATCTGTTGTCAAGATCTGGCTTTTTTGCTTGGAGACTGGTGGTTCCTTGCCTCTCTTGCAACAGAGATGATCATCTACCCTGATAAGACAGCTGTTTCTAGGAGGCCCATGCGAAGCTGTATGTAGATTGTTATGAACCATTATAAAGGCTGGTCCGGGTGCACCACCACACATAGTGTGACCTGACAAGACAAAAGCTTTGTATTTTTGAATGACTTTTCTGATATCATTATAAAATATTTTGTGTTAGTGAATTGAATGTTCGGTCTTCACAGAATTAGTGGTTTGAAAATCTGGTCTTTACAAATGGAAGTGAACAACTAGAAGGATCAGTATGTGAGTTCAGTCAGTCAGGTGTCATCGCCACTGTGAAGGTTGTCTGTAATGGATTTCCACCTTGCTCTGTCCCTTCTATTGTACTCTCTTTGAAACTGCTGTTTGTCCATTACTTAATATTATCATCTCACTTGTATCACTGCCTACTTCTTGCTCATGCTTTGAACTTGTCTCTCCAGTTTGATTTTTATAAAAAATTAGTGTAATATCTTTAAATCCGGTAAAAAAAATTCTTGTTTTTTCCATTTCTTTTCATTACTACATGCATTGCGAGTCAGCGTTGTTTAATGTGTTTTATGAGAGGAGACTGAGAACTTGTGAAAGCATCAGCATGCAATGAGAGTCAGCCTTGTGTGATGTGTTTTATGAGAGGAGACTGGGAACTTGTGAAAGCATCAGCATGCAGTGAGAGTCAGCCTTGTGTGATGTGATTTATGAGAGGAGACTGGGAACTTGTGAAAGCATCAGCATGCAGTGAGAGTCAGCCTTGTGTGATGTGATTTATGAGAGGAGACTGGGCACTTGTGAAAGTATCAGTATGGATTGAGCGTCAGTCTTGTGTGATGTGTTTTATGAGAGGAGACTGGGCACTTGTGAAAGTATCAGTATGGATTGAGCGTCAGTCTTGTGTGATGTGTTTTATGAGAGGAGACTGGGCACTTGTGGAGGCATCAGTATGCAGTGAGAGTCAGCCTTGTGTGATGTGATTTATGAGAGGAGACTGGGCACTTGTGAAAGTATCAGTATGGATTGAGCGTCAGTCTTGTGTGATGTGTTTTATGAGAGGAGACTGGGCACTTGTGAAAGTATCAGTATGGATTGAGCGTCAGTCTTGTGTGATGTGTTTTATGAGAGGAGACTGGGCACTTGTGGAGGCATCAGTATGCAGTGAGAGTCAGCCTTGTGTGATGTGTTTTATGAGAGGAGACTGGGCACTTGTGGAGGCATCAGTATGCAGTGAGAGTCAGCCTTGTGTGATGTGTTTTATGAGAGGAGACTGGGCACTTGTGGAGGCATCAGCATGCAGTGAGAGTCAGCCTTGTGTGATGTGTTTTATGAGAGGAGACTGGGCACTTGTGAAAGTATCAGTATGGATTGAGCGTCAGTCTTGTGTGATGTGTTTTATGAGAGGAGACTGGGCACTTGTGGAGGCATGAGCATGCAGTGAGAGTCAGCCTTGTGTGGTGTATTTTATGAAAGGAGACTGAGAACTTGTGGAGGCATGAGCATGCAGTGAGAGTCAAAGATGACAAACTCAACCAAACATGTACATTTCTTGCAGGAATGATGATCCAGTTGCATCTTTTGGGCAGCTCTCTGAGTCAGTGAGTCCGTTAAACCTCCATCAGAAAGATTACCTGGCAGGCAGCTCAAGAAATGAAAATGTTTCCCTTTGTTCATATTCATCTGAAGAAACCAGGAAGCCAGACACTGACAGACAGAGATGGATCAGACAGAATTCGGTCAACAGTTTTTTATCGAAAGAACGTTTGACAAACAATTGGCCTTCTAGAACGGCCCCACCAGCAGCAGATTTGCTTAGAAATGAGAATGTTGGTGTCTACTATGGAAATGTTCCTCCAGCCTCGTCTTCAGGTTCTCAGTTTTCACGAAGAGATGCAGCTGTTCCATTCCCCAACAGTTCAAGTAATCCCACTTTGAGATGTCATGGGTTTGAACCAAAACGCCACTTTGAAGCTCAGGCAGCTAGGAAAAACTCTGCCCCGTATCAGATGACAAAACCTTGGACATCTCATAACGGTCAGTTACTGACAAGCTGGCATATCTAAGAGTCCAAGTTTTCCTTATTATGTTGTTTCATTTCTCTGTGTTTAAAAGATTTGATTTTTTTTTTTTAAGTGAGTATGAGATAGTCTTGTTAGTCTTCATTGTTGTGACATGCCTCTATGCCTGTTTTATTAATAGCTGTGTTCATAACGGAAGCAGAGAAATATATCAGTTTAACCAAATGTTGTGGTTTGTGTGATTGTCCAGCGCAGTTTTTGGGGACTACAAGTACTGCCACCAAAAAGCAGCTAATATTCTGGGCTCCGATTACAAGTACTGCCACCAAATAGCAGCTAATATTCTGGGCTCCGATTACAAGTACTGCCACCAAATAGCAGCTAATATTCTGGGCTCCGATTACAAGTACTGCCACCAAATAGCAGCTAATATTCTGGGCTTCGATTACAAGTACTGCTACCAAATAGCAGCTAATATTCTGGGCTCCGATTACAAGTACTGCCACCAAATAGCAGCTAATATTCTGGGCTTCGATTACAAGTACTGCTACCAAATAGCAGCTAATATTCTGGGCTTCGATTACAAGTACTGCTACCAAATAGCAGCTAATATTCTGGGCTCCGATTACAAGTACTGCCACCAAATATCAGCTAATATTCTGGGCTCCGATTACAAGTACTGCCACCAAATAGCAGCTAATATTCTGGGCTTCGATTACAAGTACTGCTACCAAATAGCAGCTAATATTCTGGGCTCCGATTACAAGTACTGCCACCAAATAGCAGCTAATATTCTGGGCTTCGATTACAAGTACTGCTACCAAATAGCAGCTAATATTCTAGGCTCCGATTACAAGTACTGCCACCAAATAGCAGCTAATATTCTGGGCTTCGATTACAAGTACTGCTACCAAATAGCAGCTAACATTCTGGGCTCCGATTACAAGTACTGCCACCAAGTAGCAGCTAATATTCTGGGCTCCGATTACAAGTACTGCCACCAAATAGCAGCTAATATTCTGGGCTCCAATTACAAGTACTGCCACCAAATTGCAGCTAATATTCTGGGCTCCGATTACAAGTACTGCCACCAAATAGCAGCTAATATTCTGGGCTCCAATTACAAGTACTGCTACCAAATTGCAGCTAATATTCTGGGCTCCGATTACAAGTACTGCCACCAAATAGCAGCTAATATTCTGGGCTCCTGCCCACTTGCTTCATATACATGTTAATCATGAGATAATCTAGACATTAATATTCATACATCCATGTTCCAATCCCATTCATTCCATCATCATTCTGGCTCCCTTTCTCTCAGTATATATGTATATACTAGTGACACACAATACCTAACCCACCTCCATCTTGATCTGTGGATTAGAGGTTACAGAGGGGTTGTCTAATTCTATAATACCCAACTGACAATGGCTGTGTAGAAACATTGAGCTGAAAAATTCAGCCAGTTGTGAACAAGTCTACTGGGTTTGGCATCATTTGATTGAGGGCCAGTGCTGCATCGGGAGAAGATTTTGCTATATCCGTGTGCCCACAGAAAGAGGCAGAGAGAAAGGGGTATGACAGAAAAAGACAAAAAGAACCTAGTCACTGCATTATTGCAACTCCTGTATATGCACTATAGGACTACCAGGTTTATGGTTACTAGATTTTGCAGTTAAAGTTGTCTACAGGTTGGGGTTACTAGTCTTTTACCAACCTTGCTTGGGTGCTTTTTATGACATGCTTGGTAAGATACAGTTCTACTATTCTCTGCTTGCCTCATCAGTCCTAAAAAACTGGTGAAAATATGGGGATGTCTGCGGTCAGGCTAATACAAGGAATTCCAGGGAAATTTGACTACAGAGCTTAACTATGTGGGGAAGAGTAAGAGCTCTCCTCGTTGTTATCTTTGTGTAGTTCACTTCATGTTTGACAGAGGCTGCCCGGCCGAAACCTTACGTTATTTGTGTTGTTTTGTGCACGTTTTTCTGCTCCCCCATTTGGTTCAGCTTTTTAGTCAAATTTCCCTGGAATTCCTCATCAGTCCTAGCAACTCGAATTAAAAGTGCATATTGTTTTACTTTTTCCAGCACAAAACAGGCGCAGACTGTCATACCCTGCAGATCAATATAGCAGCATGACAGAAAATGGACAAATGGTCTCAGAAACCTGCTTTCCTTCACCGTCAGATGTTGCAGCAACCAAGAAACGTGTCCAAAACTGGGCGGTATCCTTTGCTGCTCGCAGTTGCAACTACAGCTGCAAGTTTATAGACACCCACTGCCACATTGATTATCTCTACTCCAGGCTGGAAGTTCCTTGGGAGACAACTTTCTCCAAGTTCCGGGAGCAGCATTCTGCCATGTTTCCTTGCAATTATGAAGGTTGTGTAGCAGTCTTCTGTAACCCCAATACATTCAACGCTGACAGTGAGTACCCTGTTCACTTCCGTTTTTGTGTGATTCTGAACCAGGGCTTACTGTTTGATGCACACTTCTACTACTCATCTCATCTTGATCCTCTTGCGGTGTCGAGGTGCAGTATAATTTATTGCAAAGTTCCTGTTGGTGTGCTCTGTAAATGGGGATTCTCAAGGACTGTTATTCCTTCTGTCCATATCAAACCATATCACTTGTTTTCTAAAACACTTTTGCCTTTGCCATTCAAAGGGCTGTTAGCACTTTATGTTGTGGTTTACAGCTAGTCTGTGATATTTGTGCCTTTTTACTCAGCGCATCCAATTGCAGCCAACTCCTATTTAGTCATCTTGTACAGTGTGCTTGTTACAGGCCAATGAGTCCGTCACATACGTATATACTGCCACACCTGCATGCATACATTCATAGATAGGATGGAGATGGCCTGGACATGCTTGCAAAATGCCTTAAGACGCTTTGGCAAGGACAGCAGAAGGGTAAAGTGAGGGGTAGACAACTTCAGGAGACCTAGAGTTAAGGACAGCAGATGGACAAGTGAGGAATGGACAACTTCAGCAGACCTGGGGTGAAGGACAGCAGATGGGGAAAGTGAGGCATGAACAACTTCAGGAGACCTAGAGTTGAGGACAGCAGATAGACAAGTGAGGAATGGACAACTTCAGGAGGCCTAAAGTTGAGGACAGCAGATGGACAAGTGTGGAATGGACAACTTCAGGAGACTAGAGTTGAGGACAGCAGATGGAAAAGGATGGCAACTTCAGCGAGGGGTAGACAACTTCAGGAGACCTAGAGTTAAGGACAGCAGATGGACAAGTGAGGAATGGACAACTTCAGCGGACCGGGGGTGAAGGACAACAGATGAGAAAAGTGAGGAATGGACAACTTCAGGAGACCTAGAGTTAAGGACAGCAGATGGAAAAGGGTGGCATTGACAACTTCAGCGGACCGGGGGTGAAGGACAGCAGGCATTGACAACTTCAGCAGACCTGGGGTGAAGGACATCGGATGGAAAAGGGAGGCGTGGACAATTTCAGGAAACCTAGTGTGGAAGAATGTAGAGTGACATGGGACACATTTCTGTTTGATGTAGTGCTAAGATACTAAGTTGGGAGAGAGGTGTGTACATAGGCCTCATTCCAATAAATGCAGGTTTTTCTTATTGCGCACATGACTTGAATAGAAACGTATCTGGCTTGTGTGTTACACTTATTTCACACATGACTTGAATAGAAACGTATCTGGCTTGTGTGTTACACTTATTTCACACATGACTTGAACAGAAACATATCTGGCTTGTGTGTTACACTTATTGCACATGACTTGAACAGAAACATATCTGGCTTGTGTGTTACACATTTTGCACACCTGACTTGAACAGAAACATATCTGGCTTGTGTGTTACACTTATTTCACACATGACTTGAACAGAAACATATCTGGCTTGTGTGTTACACTTATTTCACACCTGACTTGAACAGAAACATATCTGGCTTGTGTGTTACACTTATTGCACACCTGACTTGAACAGAAACATATCTGGCTTGTGTGTTACACTTATTGCACATGACTTGAACAGAAACATATCTGGCTTGTGTGTTACACATTTTGCACACCTGACTTGAACAGAAACATATCTGGCTTGTGTGTTACACTTATTTCACACATGACTTGAACAGAAACATATCTGGCTTGTGTGTTACACTTATTTCACACCTGACTTGAACAGAAACATATCTGGCTTGTGTGTTACACTTATTGCACACATGACTTGAATAGAAACGTATCTGGCTTGTGTGTTACACTTATTGCACACATGACTTGAATAGAAACGTATCTGGCTTGTGTGTTACACTTATTGCACACATGACTTGAACAGAAACATATCTGGCTTGTGTGTTACACTTATTGCACACATGACTTGAATAGAAACATATCTGGCTTGTGTGTTACACTTATTTCACACATGACTTGAACAGAAACATATCTGGCTTGTGTGTTACACTTATTGCGCACATGACTTGAACAGAAACATATCTGGCTTGTGTGTTACACTTATTGCACACATGACTTGAACAGAAACGTAACTGGCTTGTGTGTTACACTTATTGCACACATGACTTGAACAGAAACGTATCTGGCTTGTGTGTTACACTTATTGCACACATGACTTGAACAGAAACATATCTGGCTTGTGTGTTACACTTATTTCAGCATGACTTGAACAGAAACATATCTGGCTTGTGTGTTACACTTATTGCACACATGACTTGAACAGAAACATATCTGGCTTGTGTGTTACACTTATTGCACACATGACTTGAATAGAAACATATCTGGCTTGTGTGTTACACTTATTGCACATGACTTGAACAGAAACATATCTGGCTTGTGTGTTACACTTATTGCACACATGACTTGAACAGAAACATATCTGGCTAGTGTGTTACACTTATTGCACACCTGACTTGAACAGAAATATATCTGGCTTGTGTGTTACACTTATTTCACACATGACTTGAACAGAAACATATCTGGCTTGTGTGTTACACTTATTGCACACATGACTTGAATAGAAACGTATCTGGCTTGTGTGTTACACTTTTTCACACATGACTTGAACAGAAACATATCTGGCTTGTGTGTTACACTTATTGCGCACATGACTTGAATAGAAACGTATCTGGCTTGTGTGTTACACTTATTTCACACCTGACTTGAACAGAAACATATCTGGCTTATGTGTTACACTTATTGCGCACACGACTTGAACAGAAACATATCTGGCTTGTGTGTTACACTTATTTCAGCATGACTTGAACAGAAACATATCTGGCTTGTGTGTTACACTTATTGCACACATGACTTGAACAGAAACATATCTGGCTTGTGTGTTACATTTATTTCACACATGACTTGAACAGAAACATATCTGGCTTGTGTGTTACACTTATTTCACACATGACTTGAACAGAAACATATCTGGCTTGTGTGTTACACTTATTTCACACATGACTTGAACAGAAACATATCTGGCTTGTGTGTTACACTTATTTCAGCATGACTTGAACAGAAACATATCTGGCTTGTGTGTTACACTTGTTTCACACATGACTTTGAACAGAACCAGGCTTGGTTGGCAGCTGGTCTGGGAGGGAACATCCAACAGGTGGACAGACAGACAGCACTGGATGGTCGTGACCAGAAGGGGGGGTCATGCTTTGTGCATTCTTTCTTTATACGGCTGCACTTAGTGCCCCAAAGTGCCATAGGTAGGAGAGCAGTCCAACATGCTGGGGAAACAATGCCTGTTTTGTATAGGTCACCAAAGTCTCACATCAGCTTGTTGTGGGTCCCTTTGTTGAGTGGGAGGCTTAATCCGAAGCCACCACACAAATGAGGCTGTGAAATGTCTCATGGAACTAGCTGGGAAAATCAGTGCCTGTTGAAATTGGATGTGTCATACGGAAGCCGCCAATATTGCCACAATGCAATTTTGTCACTCGCACGGACAAAGAAGTTGCTACATGAACGACATAGTGGAGCGAGTGGTTTGGTGTGCAGGGAGGAAGATCTGTAGACTAACTAATGGACTTTCACCATCTGATAGATCCGAAAGATCACATACTGAAAACAATTGCAATGGAGGATGGAATATGGCTGGCGTTTGGATGTCACCCCAAACATGCTGCTGAATTCACTGATGCTCATCTTGGAGGATTGAGGCAAATACTGAAGCATCCCAAAGTTGTTGCACTGGGAGAAATTGGCTTGGATTACTCTGGACCGTAAGTTATGAGTTGATTTCATCACATGTTATCTTTTATATTTAGCGGAACTCATTGCTGAGTACATCTATGAACCAGAGGGGAATGTATCTGACTTGGCAATTCATTTTTTTTTTAATGGCTTACTCCTTCAAGATTCCGGCAAGGATAATGCACGTATTCTCTTCCATGGTAGGGGGGGGGGGGGGTAGGTCCTATTAGTTTTGCCTGGGTAAGGTCGTTATGGCCTGCTTTGTTGCAGTTTCTTGATACCATAGGATTTATTGCTTGTTACTTGCACACAGGAACTCCTATTTTACATCATTATTTGAGATAACATAATCCAGTTTTGCAATCCAAGTTAGAAGAGAAATGTGTAATATAACTAGACAACAGTGGTGTTTGTTGAATAAAAACATTCTCAGATGTATACCAGAAACATACCCAGTAACTTCTCAGCTATAGTTGGAAAAATTTTACTTGTTATATTATTTCATTATCATCATCATATGCCACGCTGAAAGCCTAGTCTGTCATGTTTCACCACATCACACGATCACTAGAATCACAGATCAGTTCATTGTTTTTGTCCCACCCCATCCATCTGGCCAGGCCATCCAGGTATTTATCTATTTGCCTTCCTCTTGCTCTCTTTCCATCAATCCTGCCAGTTGTTGCACAGATCCCGAGTCCATTCTTTCTCTTAGTATGTCCACAAATATTCACTGTTTGCATGTAATTGTTCTAATAAGTTTACAACTTTCATCTGTCTTGATGAGGACTGCTTTGTTTGTTTCTTTCCATGATATTGCTTAAGGCCAGCCTCTTAGACCCAGTGGCCTACTGTTAAGCACACTTACCCATCAGCAAAATGGTGCCTTGGTTGTCTCCCAATTAATGGCAGAGTTGATAATCTCTTTTAGAATGGCAGCCAGAGGGGACTTTATGAATGTACAGGAAGTCAGAGCTATAATGATATTCCCTTTTCAGTTAATAACTATATATGATATGTATGTTTGCATCTAAATGTATGTGTGTGCCATTTGTTATGGAGTATGTTGCAAGGGCATAAGCTAGGCTTTTTTTGTGTGGGTTCTTGACTCTGTAAACAAAAAATATATTTGATAGAGAATTGTTCGTTTATGTATGTTTATTTGCATGTACTTCAGTCATAAAAAAACACTAACCCTTAGACCAGAGCTATTCACCGTACCGCCAGTGGGCCAAATCTGCCCCATGAAGGCATATCAAGTGGCCAGTTATATTGTATTAATGGTTGTTCTTTCCTGGGAGCTCGAGCTTCTGGTCCGCAACTATTCCCTGTCTCAAATTGTTGCCCTTGAGTAAACTTAATTAAACAGCCCTGCCTTAGACACATGCAACACATCGGCTTACTGTCATTTACAAGCACACACATATTCATTCCCCCACCTATTCATCTACCCAGTATTTTGAATAAGATATAATTTTATATGAATTTCTTCTTTCCTCTTAGCGTTCAGCAGTTCTTCTAATCTGTGGTGGAAAGATCTGATTGTTCTGAAACTTCTGTTACTTGATTAAATGGCCTCAAGGGTTCCCCCTCTGCTTATTTTCTAAAACTTCAATAATTTAGACTTGTTCCAGAGTTCAAATTTTGCATGCACCTTCATTTTACACAGGGAGCTTGTATGCAGACTGTTGGTTCCTCATTCCTCACCTCTCAGGCAGATGCACTTAGACTTCAAAGGAAACATCGCTGATAATTGCCTTCTACAGCTTGCTTGTTAAGGGCAGTGAGTTAATGCCCCCCCCCCCTCCCCTCTCCACCCCAAAACCGGGTTCTTGGAACTCATATGGGGATTATATCAGATTTAATAACAGTTCTGATATGCTTTGATGTTTTCCATTATCATCCTACCATATGTTTTTGTTGTCATATTTGATCGGTGTTATACTACACTTTATTTGCCAGATGTCATCTTTATTATGCTGTACCTTTATTGTTTGCCAGATTTAGTGTTTGCGACAATAGGGAATTCGGGAGAATTTGGAAGCAACAGAGCTGTGGTTTCTGAGACAAATGTTACAAATACCTTGGACGGCCAGAGTAACTAATGATGATTGTTTGAAAGAAGCTAACTGAAAGTAGATCTCTATATGCAACAATAAGAAAGAGACAAACACTGTTCTTTGGCCATAGAATGAGAAGAGAGGCATTGGAGAACATTGTAACAACTGGAAAGATCAGTGGAAAGAAGGGTAGAGGCAGACCAAGAGAGATGATGCTGGATGGGCTGAAACGATGACATGGAGGGATATCATCAAGACAGCTGTTCCAGGCAACCAGGGATCGTGATCTATGGAGATGCAATAGCGCCTACCCCAGTTGGCAGGGCACATGATGAATCAGTGTTTGTGATTTTATTGTTTGCTAGATTTTGTCATGTCTTATACTTTTATTGTTCATCACAGTTTATTTCTGATATACTTTTTAGTGTTGCCCAGATTTGATCAGTATTCCAATGTAGCTGCATTGTTTGTCAGATTTAGTCAACACTCGGACATACAGAAGCTAGTGTTTAGACAGCAGATACAGCTGGCCTTAGAGCTGCAGCTACCTCTGGTCATCCACTGCCGTGATGCCGATGATGACTGCCTAGAGATCTTGACTCAGGTGAATCTGTTTGCTAAGTGATTAGTATCTTCACAGCACTCTGGGCAGGTCCATAAGTGATTAGTATCTTCACAGCACTCTGGGCAGGTCCATAAGTGATTAGTATCTTCACAGCGCTCTGGGCAGGTCCATAAGTGATTAGTATCTTCACAGCGCTCTGGGCAGGTCCATAAGTGATTAGTATCTTCACAGCACTCTGGGCAGGTCCATAAGTGATTAGTATCTTCACAGCACTCTGGGCAGGTCCATAAGTGATTAGTATCTTCACAGCACTCTGGGCAGGTCCATAAGTGATTAGTATCTTCACAGCACTCTGGGCAGGTCCATACGTACTCTGATCTTCTCAAAAGCTTAAAACGACTGATGATGCCTGTTTTGTGTCGATTAATGTCTTGTCCTTTGGTGAAAGGTTCATTTGTGCAGCTTAAAGTTTCACTCAATATCCGTCATTCTACACAGGGATGCCGAGTCATGCCCTGAGCTGTATTTGTCATCTTGATGTGCGCTGTGCATGGCATTGATAATGATGCGTTTATCCAGTACAGGACCACAGCCATAGCCGTCATAGTATCTGCAAGATAATCTGCACGCTTGTTGCCTCAAACACCCACATGACCAGGCACAAAGATGAAGGTTAGGCCAGCCATTTGCAAAGTGCTTAGTGACCCAATTCATTCTTGTCTGATGAATCCAGCCTGACATTTCTTAAGCATGTTCATTGAGTTATTTAGTTTGTATATATATCGGTGAACTCTTTTACCCAGCCATTCTAGTGTCCTTGTTACAGCCTCCATTTCCATTGTAAGGCTGCTAGTAGTAACAGCAAAGGTGCCATTCATCTGCTAAATGGTTTTCCCTTTTGAGTTCATGGTGAATGCCCATGCACTTCTATTGCCGCAAATTGCTGTACACTGTAGCATCACTTTCATCTGCGTTTTCGTCACTCATAGTTCTACCTTTTCTAGTGTGCCAGGGATCTGCTCTCTGCAGCTTCTATAAAGTGTGATATATTTGCTAAAAATATCCATAATATAATGATGGGTCGTCTGTCAGTACTGGCCTCTAGCTTAAGAGTTTTAGCATCATTCATATGGATTATTTAGTGTGTTCCCAAACAAGATAATGGATGAATCAAGAATTGGCATTGCTGCACATTCCTATAGGTGCTCTGTCCCCTTTCTCAGTAGCCAGCAAAGTGTGTCCACATAGATGCCATCTGATGGTGGGAATTGCAGCATGATTACAAGATTGCCTGTTTATTTCACCCACCCTGTAGAAAATCCTCCAAGCCCTCTGCTGACTCCATGTTAATCATTCTCTCCAGATATGGTTGCTGTGTCTGTTCTACTGCACCGTTTAATTGATCCCAGAGAGCCTTTCATATGTCCACTTTATCTTAAAGTAGCTCACCGCCCAAAGGAGTAACAGCAGCGTATCTGTCAGCTTGCTGATTACTGCGTACACCTGCATGATCTTGTCCACAAGTCCCTGATGTCCTTCTTATTTGAGTCTCATCCAGTGACACAAGCCACTCTGAGCATAAGACATCAGTTTGTACTTTCCCCAGCATGCTCTGCAAGTCAATTATGATTACAGCATATCCAGCTGTTCTGCTGCCAAGCCAGTGATAGCTGCCATTACTGCAACTTTCAGTCACATGCTAAATGTTTTCAGAGAGAAATACTGTTGTCTCAGTGATAAGAGGACAAATAAATTAACATAAAAAGTAAGACACAAATAACAATTTAACATTATGACCAAAGTTTTGAGCATCCAGAGAATTTTTTTTTTCAAGTTGGTAGCTCTTATGTTTTGATTATTTTTATTTATGTTGGGATCTGACTTGTTTCTCTTATGACTTAATTCTTAATTCTTTTCTGGTCACTCCATTTTCTCACACATCTTTTCTGTTTTGTTAGACTATGTGTGGCACTTGTAGCATAGGATGGAAATGACTATGCTTTGTATAAGATGTTTCACTGTGCTAACTGGGACTGTCTTATGCCAAAGGAGAGAGGCTAGCTGTCCCAATGCTTGATTTGACATACTTTTCAACCTTATAAAATGGTTGTCATTGAGGTACCATATGGCTAGACCAAGTACTACATTAATAACCCCCCCCCCCCCCCCCACCCCCCTCTTTGTTGAGTGAGGGATAATAAAAGTAATTTTTATACACTTTTTGTTATTATGTATCCAGTGTGTAATAATGTTCTTATTAGATTAGGAAAAAACATTATTTAAAGATATTCTCTCTGGTCAGATGGTGCCCTGCAACCACAAGATCCACGCCCACTGTTTCACCAGAGGCATCGATGTGGCCGAGCGCTGGCTGGGTCATTTCCCCAACCTTTTCTTGGGCCTGACACCAGTTATCACCTACAAGTCAGCTGTAGGTGCTATCAGCACCGCAGAATCAATTTCCTTGGACAGACTGCTGCTAGAGACTGATGCCCCATTCTTTGTGCCAAGCGTTTTATATGTAAGATAAACAGTTTATTATTTATATGTTTAGAAGATGTGGCCTGTTTATTCATACATGTTAATGATCCTTTGTGGCCTCAGAGTTAGTGATTGTATCTCACAGATTTATGGCGGGGGTGGGGGGGGGGGGGGGGGCCTTAGCAGTAGTAGGAGAATCACACTGTGAAATAGGTTGGAGGCCTCAGGCCTTACTTGTTATCATTCTTAATGACAGCAGTATGTGAACTGTGGCCAATCTTTATTGTAGCGATGGCAGTCATTTAATATGTTCTGATAGACAAGCGTTTTAAATAAAAAGATCAATTCACTAAGATGTACAGCATTAATGTTTCCAATTAAATGGTAGCTGACAAGTCAGACTTTTAATATAAATCCTTTGAAACCACTAGACTAGGTAATTCTCACCCATCTGTTCTGTTCTGTTTGTTTTTTTTTCAAACTTCCTGGCTATTAGGTGAAGTTCCGGCACCCTGCGATTAGAAAATCGTAATCTGAATGGAAGACCAACACTGCAAATCCCACATACCCAATTCAACCTGTAAAGAAGGTATAGCTGGGCTACCTATAATGGCTACAGCAGGCAATCTGTGATCTTGTTGTGGAACAGATTTCTTTTTTATTAACTAAGGTGGTGGGTGTGGGTTTAAATCCTTCCTCCTGATGCATGTGAGAAACCAAGACAGCTGTCTTGATGCCAAGAGCAGACAATCTCCCTGAAGACTCAGACACAGACAATGTCCCTGGAGACTCAGACACAGACAATGTCCCTGGAGACTCAGACACAGACTCGAAGTGGCTGATGAAAGAAACTGAGCCACCTGAATATCCCCAGAAGTGGGAAAGAATGAGTTTAGATGCCCAGCGAGCACTGACTAAATGAATAGCTAGACAGAGCTGCTTGCCCCTCCCAACTGCCTTTTCTGGTCATCAAATTAAACCCCCATCTAGAAGAGGTATATTGATAGACAGCACAGGACTTATACATGGCATAGACATATCTAGAAATACAATTAAACACTGGTTGACACATACATGTAGATTTATTTAACAAATTATCCAATGTGTTTTCTCTACATTGATCAAACTAAATAGATGATGATGATGTTAAAAATGATGGTAACATGAAACTGTCGTCATGAGAGAGTTCAAGAGAAATCTTGGACAAACAACCATTACCACCTCGGGTGTCCCAGAGGATCTTCACCCAGAATTGATGTTGAACGCTTGATCTGTCCCAGTCACCAACAACTTTCTCAGGGCACCTCAGTCATTACCTAGGACCAGCCTGGCAGTGATCTGCAAGCTCGTCCTGCCACAAGGAATCAGGAATCTGTCCTTGACTTTTCAGCAGCTAGGGATGGAAACAGTCAAAATGTATGGTCCCTAATTCTCTGCAGAATAAAATATATGCCTAGCTGTCCCCTCTGTCTTCATATTGTCAGAGGTGGGATAATGGTCTCATAGCATGGTCATTTTCATAGCTTCCACTTCTGACTACTGTCCAGCCCAGATGAACGGCCATCCATCTTCAATCCTTCATGATGAATGTTTAATAATGCACGTTTTTTCAAGCTAGCCAGAACATGCAGTTATAAATGCAGCACAAAACCTGACAGAAGGATGTAGGATTATGTCTATAAATATTGATGATTCTAGATAAAAGATATCATCACTAGGAGAACTGGACCACACCAGACCCAACAGCCACAATCACCACACCGCAGCAAGGAAGGAAAGAACCGGAATATCAAGTGTGACTACACACCACAAATAAAAGGAAACCAAATAAGACAGCCAAGGAACCTTCCTTCATATAGCAGGCCTCCAGCAGCTGAAAAAGGATCAAATTTTGAATTTTTGTTAGACAATTGGAATTGGAATAAAAGTGGCTGACTCCTGTCTCCCAGATATTCCATTCTATGGTTAATTTTTGGTTGTAACCAGCTTTTGTGTGCTAGGAAAAAAAAGTTTTGCAGTGTGAAGTTTTCTTAGAGAATATATCAACATCACAGCATTTATGGAGGCTGTGTAAAAGTAAAAAAAAATCACTTGAGTATCTGTCTGAAAACAGTCATAGATCCTTTCTGTACACATAGTAGATGGTGGATAATTTCCTAAAAGTCCTAGATACAGTAAATAGGAATAGCATCCAAGATATAGAATGATAGGAATTAGGAATAGCATCCAAGATATAGAATGATAGGAATTAGGAATAGCATCCAAGATATAGAATGATAGGAATTAGGAATAGCATCTCAAAGGTCAAGTTCCTGACCCATGTTTCGGTGGCTGAAATGAATCCCCATGGTTCAATACATTATCGCGCAAATTCACCCTTTCATGATTAGCGTGACTGCCTCTCTGACCATACAGAATCCCAGGCTAATGCTCAGTAACTTGTGGAAACCCTTCCAACCTCGGGTCTGCAACCCATCACATTAGCTTGAGATATCCTGAATCTCTGCTCATGCACCCATCACGCTTGGCCATTACTGCTGTGTCAACTTCCACAGACAACATGGACACTGGATTCCACTGGCCAGCATGAAGCATAGGCACACTCGTCTAGTCTGGCAACACCCAGACTAGAACATACAGTCACACCCAAGTTTTCCTGATCCCACGCTACAGCTGCGCAAGTAGTAATCACATGTCTTCAAGGCTCTGCTAGTGCGTCCTTCCTCTCTAACTTTGTAGAGTCCACTCCTCCTCTTCGTGGAATCAACGGTCTCTCTGATAACTCAGCATTCACTACCCCCTAGTGAGCTATCTCACCGCACTGTGGTTCACGTTTATTAATGAACTTCCTTACGGTTTTTCTACAGTTGCACGGCTATACTAGTCCTTGACCCAGTGAACCCAGCAAATGGGTCTGCGGTCTAATTTATATATTACCCCCTTAATTATAATTTTAAACTTTGCAAAAGGGTCCTAAATTAATTATAGTTTGTTAGTAGAAGTTCCTTCATCACTGCAGTTGGGTTGCCCCATAATTGCTCAGTTACTGCATCAGTGGAAATCCCACCAAATATCATCCACTGCTCAATTTGAAAACTGGTGAAAGACTTGTTAATCCCAGCTACATCTTAAGGCTGGCTTGCACATGAAAAGTAAAAATGTGTAAGGCAGCTGTCAGATGTGCTAACACTAATGATCCCATACCAGAAACCTAGTTATAATTTCTTTTTCTGTGAAAGTTGAATGAAATATCTTGGATTGGCCATTTCGGATTGCTGTCCACTTTGGGGAGTCGCAGGTGTTGTCAAGACTTCAGGTAGCAGCCGGAAGAAATAGTCAGTAACAATTGAAGTAAGAAACTTTCTTTACAATGGGTCACACAAGTGGGCAGCTTCCATGTTACATACAGGATGCAGAGGTGCTGAACTACATGTGATGCAGCACTAGGACCTAGGCTTATGCTGGTCAAGACCTGTCCACACATCCTAGAACAGATTCCCAACTGGGGGCCTGGTTAACAGAGATCGGATCAATGTTTCCTTAAAAGTCATTGTGCCTTTGGCTGAGAGATGAACCACCAACAGCCTGCACACAAATAAGCCAGTTTTATCAAATGGATGTGCATGCTAAATGCTGGTCTCGGAACAAGGCCCAAGCCTAGAAATGGACAAACAACCAGGCCTGAATTTACAGCCAGTGAACATGAGAAAGATGATGTTAGATTCAGATCTTCCAACCACACAGTTTTTTCAAACGGAGGTCAATAGATTAGAATGAACAAACATTATTTCCAAAGGATTGCAAATTGGGCACGCAGGCCTGCCTTATATTCAGCTCTTCCAAGCATTCGTATTTCATACAGCAGTTGTATTTTATATATCAAGCATATTATATTCATATATCAAAATTTATAGTATGAGTAATAAGGTAGGTAGGTAGATAATATATGCACAGATAGATGGGTAGGTAAGTACATACATGCATACGCAGAAACAACTAGATAGACATATATGAATTGTTAGGCAGATGTATCTATTCACACAGCGCAGACCTGAAAAGAACTCACCGGGGATCAAAGAAAGGGTTCTTCTTATCAGAAATCCCTCTTATCCAAATAAGAATTCAAGCAAGAAGATTAACAAGTTGTGTTGTTTCACACCAGAAAATCACCACATCGGAGATTGCCTTGAGCGGTCTGCACTGTAAGTCATAGAAGGACGTGTAACATATGTATATACAAAGACAGTTAGATACTCAGATAAATATATAGATTCAAGTATACATGGATAGATTGATAAAACAGGTAATGATAATATCTGTCATGTTTGTTCCTACAGAAAGACGTACGGTACTCCTATCCAGGGTTTGCCTTGTTCACGGCTGAGAAAGTGGCACAGTTGAGGCATATTTCCGTAGATGAAGTTCTGACAGCATGTCGGGAAAACACAAAGAAGATGTATGGTATTTGATGACAGCGGTGCCATTTAGAGAGGGGGTTCAACTACTTTAGAGGTCATCATCAGCATCATCACTAAGTGCCTTGTCGACTGGTTATGGTCATGATGCCTCTCCCCATCTTGCAGTTTTCAGCAGCATGTGTCAGTTTGTGTGCTGACACACTTTGTGCAGTGACAAAATACAGCCAACAATATTCTCTTATTGCCTTTCTATATCTGCTTCTATATGCTCCAGCTTCTTTCTCATAACTTGTCCAGAAATGACTGCTTCTTATTAGTCTTTGTAATCAATTGTCTTTTGGTACTTGTCTCTCTTTCAAACTATCTTGATATCCCTAATGTGGGTACGCATCTCTGAGGCCTCCAGAAATTGTGAGGCTAGTTTGACAAATATCCAGAATTCCCTGTCATGTCTTTCAACTGGTTGTGTGTGGACTGCAAGTATTCTGTCTTCAGAATGTGCACTTGGTCAGAAAGAAATAGTTTATTCATATGTGTAACTTGCATATAGTAGTAATTTTTTGTTCACTTTTAAAAGGATGACTGGTATATTGTGTTGTGTCACTTTGACACTTAGACTGAGATGTCTGCACTTTTGTGTATGCCTGACTCATCTGATTTCAGCAAAGCCCTAATTAGTTGCCTTTTAGTTTGCTTGTTATGGGGCCGTAAATCTATTCCTGGTAAGATTCCCCAGGAGTTCCAGGTCTAGTGCAACAAAGAATCTCTTTGCCACTGATAGCATTGTGATTGGGCTAATGAATGTCCTGCAGTCACGGCTAGTGTGGAGTTTGGTGTCATGTTGAGCTGCTGTGTTTGCAGCAATAGTTGTTGGGCTAATGAATGTCCTGCAGTGACAGCTAGTGTGGAGTTTGGTGTTATGTTGAACTGCTGTGTTTGCAGCAATAGTTGTTGGGCTAATGAATGTCCTGCAGTGACAGCTAGTGTGGAGTTTGGTGTTATGTTGAACTGCTGTGTTTGCAGCAATAGTTGTTGGGCTAATGAATGTCCTGCAGTGACAGCTAGTGTGGAGTTTGGTGTTATGTTGAGCTGCTGTGTTTGCAGCAATAGTTGTTGGGCTAACGAATGTCCTGCAGTCACGGCTAGTGTGGAGTTTGGTGTTATGTTGAGCTGCTGTGTTTGCAGCAATAGTTGTTGGGCTAATGAATGTCCTGCAGTGATGGCTAGTGTGGAGTTTGGTGTTTTGTTGAGCTGCTGTGTTTGCAGCAATAGTTGTTGGGCTAATGAATGTCCTGCAGTGACAGCTAGTGTGTAGTTTGGTGTTATGTTGAACTGCTGTGTTTGCAGCAATAGTTGTTGGGCTAATGAATGTCCTGCAGTCACAGCTAGTGTGGAGTTTGGTGTTTTATTGAGCTGCTGTGTTTGCAGCAATAGTTGTTGGGCTAATGAATGTCCTGCAGTGATGGCTAGTGTGGAGTTTGGTGTTTTGTTGAGCTGCTGTGTTTGCAGCAATAGTTGTTGGGCTAATGAATGTCCTGCGGTGACAGCTAGTGTGTAGTTTGGTGTATTGTTGAGCTGCTGTGTTTGCAGCAATAGTTGTTGGGCTAATGAATGTCCTGCAGTCACGGCTAGTGTGGAGTTTGGTGTTATGTTGAACTGCTGTGTTTGCAGCAATAATTGTTGGGCTAATGAATGTCCTGCAGTCACGGCTAGTGTGGAGTTTGGTGTTTTGTTGAGCTGCTGTGTTTGCAGCAATAGTTGTTGGGCTAATGAATGTCCTGCAGTCACGGCTAGTGTGGAGTTTGGTGTTATGTTGAACTGCTGTGTTTGCAGCAATAATTGTTGGGCTAATGAATGTCCTGCAGTGACAGCTAGTGTGGAGTTGGGTGTCATGTTGAGCAGCTGTGTTTGCAGCAATAGTTGTTGGGCTAATGAATGTCCTGCAGTGACAGCTAGTAAGGAGTTGGGTGTCATGTTGAGCGGCAGTGTTTGCAGCAATAGTTGTTGGGCTAATGAATGTCCTGCAGTGACAGCTAGTAAGGAGTTGGGTGTCATGTTGAGCTGGTGTAGGTTTGCAACAAAATGTGAATTTGCTTTAGATCTTCAGTCCATGGGCCCCAGCCTAATGGTGGGTGGCATAACAGTCCTAGTGGGTCACCAGAAAGATGCTCCTCTTTCATCTACAATCAATACCTCTGACTTTCAGTGGGAGAAATCCAGAGATATTTTAGCACTTCATCTATCATAAACAACGCTCCAGCCTCATATAAGATATTTTAACATCTAAGCAGCAGCACATGTCCCATTAGCAGAACATTTAAATTTTGTGACATCGATTTAACAAATAAATTGCTATTTATATTTGTGTTTGGTTGTCTGTTAGGTGGGCTGTGAAACAGTTGACCCTTGTTTTAGTGGGTCGCAGGTGTAAAAAGTTGAGGAACACTGCTTTAGATCATGGTTCTTGTTCTGATTTCTTGACTTGGTTGAAACAGTTGACCCTTGGTGGGTCGCATGTGTAAAAGGTTGAGGAGCTCGACTGTAGATCCGGTTTCTTGTTTTGATTTCTTGACTTGGTTGAAACAATTGACCCTTGTTTTGGTGGGGTCAAGGTGTTAAAAGGTTGAGGAACACTGCTTTAGATCATGTTTCTTGTTTTGATTTCTTGACTTGGTGGTGGTTGTTAAATGTTCAATACAATTTGTTGTATTTGAGACATATATGATTTCGTAGTGACATTGCTGGTTTGTACTTGCGCTGTTGGTCACTGTTCTCATACTGCACTGGTCCGTCTGTATCGAATCGTTATTGTTAGCAAGTCCTTAACAGACCATAGCTCTCGTCACAACACGCCTGAAAGTCTCTGTCTCTGGCAAGTTCTCTGGCCCTGTGTACTTTCATAGCAAATGCATCTTGAATCCACCTTTATGGAAGTCAACCCCTGCCATATTTTGCACATCTGTGACCTCCATGTTTTCTCAGGACACCATCATATTTAACATGATTACCATCTGATTGTTTTGGAGGCTGTGTTAGTCAAGGAACCGTTTTAAAAAAAAATATATATATATAATAACATCAGGTAGATAGCGACAGACCCCATATTTGTTTAGATGTCGAGCACTCAGTGGGTGAAAGGTCAACATTATGCTGGCCACCTGTTTACTTTTGCGGAATATCTCCTGTACCCTTATATGCTGGTTCTCCCTGGAATCGCTGAATCAGATCAAAAAGGTAGCTTGGTGTGGATTAGGACCAACAACTTTAAGACTTTATGTTTCTCTCCCCTGGGTGGTTACTGAAAAGCTTATCCCCCTAAGACTTCAGGTCTAGTCCTGTGTGGTTACTTAAAAGTTTATCCCCCTGCTAAGACTTCTGGTCTGGTCCTGGGTGGTTACTTTAATGTTTATCCCCCTGCTAAGACTTCCGGTTTTGTCCTGGGTGGTTACTTAAATGTTTATCCCCCTGCTAAGACTTCTGGTCTGGTCCTGGGTGGTTACTTAAATGTTTATCCTCCTGCTAAGACTTCTGGTCTGGTCCTGGGTGGTTACTTAGAAGTTTATCCCCCTGCTAAGACTTCCGGTATGGTCCTGGGTGGTTACTCAGAAGTTTATCCCCCTGCTAAGACTTCCTGTTTTGTCTTGGGTGGTTACTTAAATGTTTATCCTGCTAAGACTTCCGGTCTGGTCCTGGGTGGTTGCTTGAAAGTTTATCCCCCTGCTAAGACTTCAGGGCTCGTCCTGGATGGCAGGCCAACAGGACAGTCAGTCCTGGTTACCCCGTTCAGCCTCCAAATAAGTTTTAATTAGGACAGGCTGGTGTGGGTAAGGGTTTTGTCTGTTAAAATGTTCTCATGTAGTGTGGGCAGGGATTGCAGCAACATCAGCAGGATTCATTTCCCTATCCTTACATGCCCACTAGTTAAATTTGGCTGGTTGTTAGTGTGACCTGTGCTGTTCTGTTTGGAATCAGTAAACATTACCTGTGCTGTTTGGAATCAGTAAACATGACCTGTGCTGTTCTGTTTTGAATCAGTAAATGACCTATCATGTTCTGTTTTGAATCAGTAAACATGACCTATGCTGTTCTGTTTTGAATCAGTTAACAAGACCTGTGCTGTTCTGTTTGGAATTAGTAAACATGACCTGTGCTGTTCTGTTTTGAATCAGTAAACATGACCTATGCTGTTCAGTTTTGAATCAGTAAACATGACCTGTGCTGTTCTGTTTGGAATCAGTAAACATGACCTATGCTGTTCTGTTTGGAATCAGTAAACATGACCTGTGCTGTTCTGTTTGGAATCAGTAAACATGACCTATCCTGTTCTGTTTTGAATCAGTAAACATGACCTATGCAGCGCTGTGGGCTGTTTTATTTGTGTATTGGTATGTTCCAGTGCTGATTGTCTACTTGCTGCTTTGTCAGCATCACTTGGAATCTTTGTTGGGTCTCAGGCTGTTGGGAACCACCAGAAAATCCTGCACATACAGACTGAACAGTGTGATGTCACAACAGTTTGATTGAAGATATAACATCTGGCCTGTTCCAACATCGGCGAAGACAAAGCTGTATGGTAAACAGGGAGGTCGGGACTGTACAATAGCCGTAATGATCTGTGTATGTGTGTCTACACACCGTTCACTTACTCCCGAAGGGCCCTCACAACATCTAGCTTGTTGTACATCAATTCCCCACCAAGTGGTGCAGCACGAGCCATCTGTCTGTCTGCTTGCTTCCCAACACATCAGCATGACCTGGAAACAAATATGCAGAGGACTAACTACCACGAACCTTTGAAGCGATGCTTGCCACTCTGCAAGGAGCATGTGGTGAAAATGGGTGACTGCTGTCAAGCTAATACCAACGAATTAATCCGGTGAACTGTGACAAAAAAGCTTAACAAAAGGGGAAGCAGAACAACGTGCGTAAAACATTTAAAAAAAAAACTGATGTTTTGGCCAGGGCCTTTCTCCACATGAACTGAACTACACAACAGTAAGGAAGAGGAAAGTATTTTTTTTTTACTTTTTGCAATATATTTTCTATATTCT